AACCTATGAATGTGTTCATTCAATACATGATTAATTCCACTTAAGCTAAACAAAATTCATTTTCAAGGTGACTTAGACTATCAACAGTTTTGCAAAAAGCTTGATTTCTCTCTGTGAAATACATAAATATTGTAATTATTCTATTAAATATGCATGTTAAATACTGCTGTTCAATTTTGATTTCAATTTGAGATGTACTATTTACTTTAGAATTTGTTTTTAACTGGAGTACTAATTATTTCCATTTCATAAGGCATTCCACATGCCAACTACTTTTTTCTTGACTTTCTAGAATTCTTTTATTGTATATTGCCATTTTTTTGTTGCCAAAGAATTTACAGGAAAACTAAAACAACTGTATCTGATTTTAATGAATACATCAACCATATACACAGGTACTTTTTTATATTTTTTATTTTCCAGGAAATAGTTATCATAAAGACTGATTTTCAGCTGCGGCATAGCAGCCCATAGAATGGCTCTGAGTTTTTTGTTTTTTTTCCAAGTACAAACTTTCAGCTCATAGCTCCATCAATCTTGACTGATTTGAGATCTAATTACAGTTTTGGACTCGGGAGGTGAAACTCATTTGATTGATGTATTTGACCATGCCCATGGTTTCATAGATCAATTTACTTTAATCTTGCTGTAAAAGAATTTCAATTTGAGGGTAGGCTGGTAGAGATCCTGATAAGTAATAAAATTGAATTGGGTGTACAAATGCCCCATGCTTGGTATTGCTGGTGCACAGAAATATAGCTAATAAAAAGGAAAAAAAAAGGTCTCGGATTAATTTACTCTAATCCTGCCTACAAGAATTAAGTGCTGTGGCTATTGGGATTTCCCTGTTGTTTTATGTGTACAAATAATGATTTTAATTTGCACAGGTCTGTGTTTCACTAATGTAACTTTTGGTCACCTATATTTTGTGGTCATGAACCAATATATGAAATGACAAGTTCTGGTATCTTGATATTACCTTCATCAATTTTATCTTTAAAATGTAGAAAAATTCTATTTTGCTACTTAGAAGTCCTATTTTGTGCTGCTCATAACTTTTTCAGTTTGTTTCCAACTGTTGCATCTGCTGATGAGAAATATAAAAAAAAGATAAAATGTGCCTTTTGTGGCTTATTTTCATTGCTTTCAGTTTTTTACTCTTTATCCACTAGGTTATATTTTACTAGCCCATCATTTATTTTATAAAAAAGAACTAGTATTGATTATTGATTAATTTGTGTTCTGTTCTTGGTTATTCTCTTGGTTAAGTCTCTTTCTTGAATTATTTGCCTTTTCCACTTCTAATTCACTTGCTAGCTATTCTGCACATTCTGAATCTATAACTATTCTTCTACCATGGAATGCTTGTATGCATTATTTCGAGATGGCTCTTGGATGTGTTACCACTTGCATAATATATGACATGATTGAATTGTAGCTGCAAGAACATGGCCTGCAATATCGATTACAGGTGTTATTAGTACAAACTTCTGAGTGAAAGTAAAAAAGAGTGTATCATAATATGTCAATCACACTGTCTGCCATATCCAGTGCCATGAAGGCCTTTCATCAAATGCAAGGGCTATTTAAGCAGACTGAGGTACAACTGACATAATGATGGTTGAGACACTATTTATATTTGTAAATTGCTTGATTACAACTGTTACAACAGGCATAATGGTGGTTGAGACAGTATTTATATTTGTAAATTGCATGACTATAACTGTTATGTTATGCGGGCTTTATGGACTATCAGATGATCATGCAAAACACAGTTAATAAAACAAAATCATTACCATGGATTTTGTACAAGTTTTAAAGTTAATAATTCATTATTAAAATGTTCTTTGGCAACTGAATAAAATCAAGGTAATGACTGTATTTTGTTATACTAAATTAAAGATAATAATAATAATGATATGAATATTTTTAAATGATATACTGTATGATTAACTAAAACAAAACTCAAATGTTTTAGCATGCTCAAATGCCCATTAGATCCTTATAGTTGGCTCTATGCAATTGCAAGAATTCTGAAGAACTGATGATTGGCCTGGTTCCTTTCAGATCTGTAGTTAGCTTTTCAGTTTTCAAAAATCTACCTTCTTATTAATTATAACTTAGAAACTCTGTTTTTAGTGCTTTTGCTATTATATAAACTGCAACACCTTAGATACATGGGTATCTAAGTTTTATTTTCTTTATAAATGAATGAAAAAGAGAACTAAATTTTTAATAACTTAAAAATGTATAGCTTGTAAGAGTATGAAATTTAACATTAAAATGGACGATGCTGAGGTTTATCAAAATGGACAAAAATATTGCAATAATATTGTAAAAGCTAAGTAGGATTTCAAAATTCTTATAGTTCAAAATCATCAGATTTGACTTTAAAGGATTATATGCTTATGTTAAAAACAAAAAATAGTGGAGAATAATACTGGTTTCTTTGAAATATTTTAGAGAAATCCTTTTGATAGATGTATTAGATTTATTGTACAACTTAAAGAAACATAGAAAAGAAATAGTAGGTGTTTTAACTGTTATTTTTGAAATTCTTTCAACACTGAAAAATTCTGAAGATTGCAAGTTTGCTATTGACAGTTAAAAAAAAGGGAGAGGTAAAAGGTAGATCCACCTTTAGTTAGAATTGTGTTGTTACAAGGTTTTGGAATCTATTTTCAGAAGTCATGGTGTTCAAAAAGGTGTTTTTTGCTTTATCAACTTGCTGGAGATATTGATAAAACATTTGCTTTTGTAGATACAGGTATCCCAAATGATGATGTTCCATCAACTTTCAGAAAGCCATATATGTACAAAAGGTTAATTAATGAATTAATAATTGTGTTAGTAGTCATAATTAAATGTGCAATTTTTTTTTCTATTGGAAAAATGTTATTTGTATGTTCTGCTGTTAGACATTTGTTATTTATTATTTATGTTAATTTATATTATTATTTCTAAATTTGCTAATGATACTAAGATGCTGAGAAGAGCTGATTCTGTTGAAAATGTTTCTTATGGTAACTTTGAATGAACTTACTTTCTATGTGTGAGGGTGTAGTATCTTGCAGAAGACCAACAATGCAGAAAAGTTAGGCCTGTTAACAACCAGAAATTCTTAAGTTCTTGGATATTGGGTGTGGGTGTGTCACAAAGAAGGAGAAAGGATACAGATTTATTTAGTTAGAAATACAATTTTCCACTGCAAATTATTACCGAGCAACATATGCCATGCTGGATATGAATTGGTGGCTGAGATCATCATTTGTGATGATTAGACTTTGTCTATTTATTTTGTGCAATGGTCTAACCCAGGGGTTGCCAAACTTTTTTGTACAAGGGTCGGGAGGTAGATTGTTTTAGGCTTTGTGGGCTGGAGGGGTCATGGTAAAATTAAGTAGGGATGCATACATGATCAGATTGGCTTTTGTATAATATAATTACATTATATTTTTTGTTTTTATAATATTAAAAAATTATATTATTACTTTAATAAACTGTTGGCGGGCCAAATAAACCTGAAGTTGCGGGCCGTAGTTTGGAAACCCCTGGTCTAACCCCCCCCCCCCAAAAAAAAAGAAAAAATGGTCCCCCGGTGGGACAGTGGTAAGTCTTCAGATTTATAATGCTAAAATCAGGGGTTCGATTCCCCTTGGTGGACACAACAGATAGCCTGAGAACTACACAAATCTCCTTAAAGAGCTGCATGTGGGTCACGAGCCACAGGTTGCAGAGCACTGCCCTAAAGCTTTCAGCAGAATGTTAAGATGTGGTGAAAATAGCAAATATAGTTCTTTGTTTTCTTTATAAGAATCTTGAATTTAAGAACAAGAAGATTTTTGTAGCCTTATGTTCGATTCATAACAAGTCCTTATTTGGAGTACTGTGCTCAGTTGTGTTTTACTTATTACAAAAAAGATATCAATATATTTGACAGAGAGTAGAGATGGGCTTAATGCATATAAAATAATTTCTAGTTTAAAAAACTGTAGCAATAAAGAGAGATTATATGTTTGAATTTATTTTCTCTGGAACACTGAATAATTAATGATAACATGCTTCAGAAGTCCAAAATTATTAGGGGTTTAAACAACCTTCTTTTGAGTGACGAAATAAAATAGTTGAAAATATGAACTGGAATGCTATGTTAAATAGTGTATCATTTTTGGGTACAGTTTTGGATAAACCCCTTCAGTAATTTGCTCATCATTCATCTAGTATGTGCCCCTCTATCAACTTAAAAATTCATATAGTGGTGGTTATGTAAATAAAATAAGATATGAAATATTTAATAGGGTTTGATTGCATCTTCAATACACATATATATATTGATTTGTATTTATTCATAGCTTAATAGTTAGTTACTGAAAGGTTTCATTTGCATTGTATAAGTTGATTTTGTGGTTAGAATATCAGTAGTAAGTTGGCCAAAGTTTTTGTAATTTTGAAATCCTCCTTCAAGTTTACTAGGATAATGTCAGTGCTATTTCTTTGGGCCAGGCAGTGAAGGAGCACACTGTTTAAGTGAACTTTCTACCTTTGGTTTGATGCATGGTGCAGTTAACAGGTGAAGTGTGTGTGTTGATACTGAAATTCCTTCTTTCTTTGGCAGGACTGTAACTCTCAACTAGTGGGAACTTACCTGAATTATTTTCATCTACATGATTATTACAACATTAAGACTTGGCTAATGAGCAAAAATTAATCAACATTTTCTATCAGGGAATTTTTTTTTGGAAATGAAATGGTTTAGTCCAGTCAACAAAAATAGGTAAGAGAAATAATTGTACTTCAACATAGCCACTTAAATCAAGTATGATATTAGGTGTAGGTGGTAGATACTAGTCACTATGTTAAATATATACCTTAATAATGAGTTTTTGAAACATAATTTTATCTATCTTAATAGACCATAGATTGTTTCTTTTTATACTTTAAGAACAACCACATAACTTTTGAGGTAGAATATTAACACACAATTATTATTGTTATTTTTTAATTGTACACTAGTGTATATATATATATACACACCCATTGAGCTGTACCAAGTGTCAGTCATTAGTCCCTGCTGTTTGTCATTGTCATCTTGAGTAAGGAGTGCTGTAAGGGACCCCTGTGGAAGCTATTATTTGCTGACAACCTTGTACTAACAACTGAAAGTGAGTAGGAGTTACAAACACAAGTTAAAGAGTGCCAGAAGAGTTTAGAAAGAAGAGGCTTGAAAGTTAATGTCAGAAAAATAAAAGTCATGGTGAGCAGAAGGGACAGATAGAAGATCATGATCACAGATATGAAAAGAAAGCTGCTAGAGCAAGTGAAGACTTCCAAAACATACTTACCTCCACTGGCACTATGGCTATTTCTTAATCTCCACGGTTTCAACTCTTTGCCCTACTAAGCATTGAAAATGCTTGCTCCAGTCTTTTATGCCCAACTCGATTGCCCTCGGTAAATTCTAATTTGCAAAATTCACCAGAAACTTCAATGCACCCTAAATCTAGATATTGTATATAAGCACCTCATTCAGATAATGTAATAATTTTTTCTCGACAACTCATTCAGCATGGGTTTCTATAAAAAGGAGTGTTGTGATTATTCACAATTTATGTTGCCACTTTGAACGTGGTTGGCATTACTATGGTTATATCTTTGTTTATGTTTTAGAAATTACTTTAAAAAACAACAACAACAAAAAGAAAATGTACTGATGGGTGTGAGTTAATG